GAAGACCCTGAGCTGAGGGGAGGAGGACGCGGGGATCTGGGACAACCTCTCCGCAGTAGCGGATCCCCTGCTCAGCGCCCCCTCCGCCCGCTGGGATTTTCTCTCGGGTAGGGGGAAAGGGGGCGGGGAGCAGAGGTGTCCCTCTGACGGCGGCAGAAGCGGCAGACAGACTGACAGACACGCAGCCAACAGTGCGGCCCCAGGGTTCGTCCCCAGACTCGCGAGCTCATTTGGTGGCGACTGGGGCTCGGCGCCGCGAAGCTCGATGTGGTCCGGAGGCAGTGGGAAGGCGCAGGGCTGGGAGGCCGCGGCGGGAGGGAGGAGCAGCCCCAGCAGGCTCAGGTGAAACCCCTACCCGGTCCCTTGGCCCCCTCCCTCTAAACACCTGTCTCCGCCTGGGGAACCCCGACCGAACTGGAAAGTGGTTCACTTTCTAACTCAGCAAGTTGGTTGCAAAGCAGCATTCACCTTCCTTCCTCACCATCATCCCTCCTTGGCTACTCCCCACCTCACTTCTTGCCCTCCCTTCTCTCGGTTTCCTCCTCCTTTCCCTCCCCCGCCTTCTCCTGCGCGCCGCCCGCACCCCACAAAATATGGAGGTGGGGGTATTGGGGGAGGGGGAAAGAAATGCTTTAGGTCGCGTCTCTGCCTCTCTCTCTCTCTCTCTCTCTCTCTCTCTCTCTCTCTCTCTCTCTCTCTTTCTCTCTCACCTAAAAATCCTGACAAGTGAAACTTAAAGGTGTTTACCTTGTCATCAGCATGTAAGCTAATTATCTCGGGCAAGATGTAGGCTTCTATTGTCTTGTTGCTTTAGCGCTTACGCCCCGCCTCTGGTGGCTGCCTAAAACCTGGCGCCGGGCTAAAACAAACGCGAGGCAGCCCCCGAGCCTCCACTCAAGCCAATTAAGGCGGACTCGGTCCACTCGGTTACGTGTACATCCAACAAGATCGGCGTTAAGGTAACACCAGAATATTTGGCAAAGGGAGAAAAAAAAAAGCAGCGAGGCTTCGCCTTCCCCCTCTCCCTTTTTTTTCCTCCTCTTCCTTCCTCCTCCAGCCGCCGCCGAATCATGTCGATGAGTCCAAAGCACACGACTCCGTTCTCAGTGTCTGACATCTTGAGTCCCCTGGAGGAAAGCTACAAGAAAGTGGGCATGGAGGGCGGCGGCCTTGGGGCTCCGCTGGCGGCTTACAGGCAGGGCCAGGCGGCACCGCCGGCCGCGGCCATGCAGCAACACGCCGTGGGGCACCACGGCGCCGTCACCGCCGCCTACCACATGACGGCGGCGGGGGTGCCCCAGCTCTCGCACTCCGCCGTGGGGGGCTACTGCAACGGCAACCTGGGCAACATGAGCGAGCTGCCGCCGTACCAGGACACCATGCGGAACACCGCCTCGGGCCCTGGATGGTACGGTGCCAACCCAGACCCGCGCTTCCCCGCCAGTAAGTGAGGCCGTCCCGCTGTGGGGCCGCGGGCTGAGCGCGGGAGGTGCGGGGTGAGCCGCCCGGAAGGCGCGGCGCCTGCCTGCTGTGCGCTGGGCATCAGGGTGGGCGGCCGGGCAGCGGCGCCAGGGAGTCGGGCGCGGGAGCTGGGGATTCTTCCCGGTGCTGGGCTGAGGGGTCCAAGAAGAGACACTTAGTAGCGCTGCGGTCCCGCAGGCAAGTGCTGGTATTCGGCGTCTCCCAGATGTGGCCAACTGGCAGCTCTGCTCCGCGCGCGAGATCTCAGAGTGCCCACCGAGTCTCCCCTCTAACTTAGGAAGTCGGGGCAAGCAGGACGCCGAGAGACGCGGCCTGGCGGGGCGGGAGGCTGTCGTGCTGGGACGCGCTCAGGCGCGGGGCCGGCCTCTCTCCGGTCTAGGCAACTGGGAGGGTGAGCAGCCCTAGAGAGGGATCTAAATGGATAGAGCAAGCGTCCACACTGGGGCTGACAGGAGAGAAGGGCGAGAGGCAAAGCGTCTGGGGGTCCCTAGCTTTCGAAACACCTCCTTTCCTAAGCTCCCAAAGTTAGGGTCTACCGTCGGACCCCAGCTCCTGGCCTGGGCCCCGTTGGCCGCCGGTGGCCCGTTAACCCCGCGACTCCAGCCTGGATTGGGCACGAAAGGAACTGGAGCGACCTTTCTTCACAGTGCTTTTGGGTGGAGCACTGAGACTGAGGGAGGTAGCTGGGGTTGAGGAGGAAGCTCTCCAGTCAACCCCTCGACGGCACCGCCCGGGCAAGCGCTGGCGATCCCCGCGGCTGGGCCTCTCAGGGCTGAGGCGGCCTAGGTGAGGAGGGCGCCGTCGGGGCCGGGCCTGGCCGGCCAAGGGCGCGGAAGGCAGAAGTGGCTTGGCCCGGCCCGGCCCCGGCCAACGCTGTGCGTTTGTCGCTTGCAGTCTCGCGCTTCATGGGCCCGGCGAGCGGCATGAACATGAGCGGCATGGGCGGCCTGGGCTCGCTGGGGGACGTGAGCAAGAACATGGCCCCGCTGCCAAGCGCACCGCGCCGGAAGCGCCGGGTGCTCTTCTCCCAGGCGCAGGTGTACGAGCTGGAGCGACGCTTCAAGCAGCAAAAGTACCTGTCGGCGCCGGAGCGTGAGCACCTGGCCAGCATGATTCACCTGACACCGACGCAGGTCAAAATCTGGTTTCAGAACCACCGCTACAAGATGAAGCGCCAAGCCAAGGACAAGGCGGCACAGCAGCAACTGCAGCAGGACAGCGGCGGTGGCGGAGGAGGCGCCGGATGCCCACAGCAGCAGCAAGCACAGCAGCAGTCGCCGCGCCGCGTTGCGGTGCCGGTCCTGGTGAAAGACGGCAAACCCTGCCAGGCGGGCGCCCCTGCTACTGGCGCAGCCAGCCTGCAAGGCCACGCGCAACAGCAGGCGCAGCAGCAGGCGCAGGCCGCGCAGGCGGCGGCGGCAGCGATCTCAGTGGGCAGCGGTGGCCCCGGCTTGGGTGCACACCCGGGCCACCAGCCGGGTAGCGCGGGCCAGTCGCCGGACCTGGCGCACCACGCCGCCAGCCCCGCGGCGCTGCAGGGCCAGGTCTCCAGCCTGTCTCACCTGAACTCTTCGGGCTCGGACTACGGCACCATGTCCTGCTCCACCTTGCTATATGGTCGGACCTGGTGAGAGGACGCTGGGCCGATCCCAGCCCAGCCCACTGCCTCACCGCTTCCCCTCCTGCCCGCCACACACACCAACCACCCGCCGCTCCATGTGCTTCGACTTTTCTTAAGAACCTGTCCCGTTTAGACCAAGGGGAAAAAAACACAAAGGCCAAACTGCTGGACGTCTTTCCTTTTTTTTTTTTTTTTCTAAAATTTGTGGGATTTTTTTTTTTAAGAAAATAAAAACAACCAAGCGAATCCAATTCTTTAAGGAGCCTTTAAACAGAGAAGGACATAACAAAACAGCTTTGGGCGTGTCTTTTAGATGGTTCAAATGGGTTTTCCACACCCAGGCGGGGCAGAGTTTGGAGAGGGCTCTATGCTGAGGTGGCTCTGGACTCTAAAGATCTCAAACTTCACTCTGGGTACACTGTGCCAGCAAAGTGGACTCGCTTGTAAATACCAGGATTTCTTTCGAAGGGGAGACAGGGCCTGGGGAGAGGAAAGACTCTTCTACAGAACCCACTTGTCACTGACACAAAGGAAATACCCCCTCTCAGCAAGCTCTGACTGCCCAGGCTCAGCCTGAGGGCCCTGGCTAAAACTGTTTTATGTTTGATGTGAACTTGTAGCTGTTAAACGCTGTCGACGTTGGACTAAACTAGTTTTTAGTAATCTGTACATTTTGTTGTTAAAAAAAAAAAACAAAAAAACAAACAAACAAAAAAAACAACCCAGTCCCGATCCCCAGCCCATTATATTTTTTGTGGGCGCTGATAAATCTGTGTATATTATTTGGCAGTTTGGAATTTGCAGCGTCTTTTTCTGTTGTAACTTATGTAGATATCTGGCTTAAATATAGTTCCTAAGAAGCTTCTAATAAATTATACAAATTAAAAAGATTCCTTTTCTGATTAAAAACCCACCTTTTGTTTGGTTTTGATTTGGCTTTAAATGGCATTTTTTAATGGGGCGGCTCATGATTAGCCTGATGAGATTGGAATTGTTTGGGGACTCAAAGGATCCTGAATCAGCTAAGGAGGCCTGACTCCAGTCTTTGCCCCATGCAAAGAGGGAGCTTTTCTCTGCTTCCGAATTGAGTAGAACCAAACCTTGAGCAGTTCTGGGACACAGCAATAAAGAGGAGAAAAGATAAACTACTTCCACCAGGAGGGAAAGGCAGAAAGGAATAGAACTAGACCAAAGGACTAGTTTTCAGAGACAGGCTTCTGTTTTTTGAAACCTCAGATGTATCCACTGTGGTCTTACACAGCTAAGCCAACGTTTTAAGAAAGTCCGCCAGGACATTTTAAATAACCCCGAATGACAATCGTTATTACTGAGCAGATCGCCCCTGTAGATTTCAACATCAATCTTTTATTTCTAATCCGCAGCTGAGCCTTGTCGGAATTAGAATTCGATGGGCGGTTGTTTTCGAAAGTGTCGGAAAGTCGTTACCAGATTTCATTTCTACTAGAAAACGGCCGTCCCCGCGCAGGACTGGCCGCAGATCTTCTCTTCTTAAGGTCTCTCCAGCCTAGAGAGGTGTCTGACTGGGCAGCTGACCTGGAGACACCCTCCCGACTCCACTACTACAGGACATGGGGAGCTGGGCTTTTTGCTCTTATTCACATCGGTTTCCATCTGTGGGATCCTAAATCTTTGTAGTAATGATTTTTTCCCCCCTGTTCCCAACTCTCCTCCTCTCCCCGAACCTCCTCGCCCCCAGCAAAAAAAAAAAAAAAAAAAAAAAATCATCTTGGACTTTTCTTCCTACCTCTTATTTCTTGGTCTTTGGTGCCCCAGATGTGGCTGTTGGGGAACTCAGTGTTGCCCCCAGGGCGGGGAGGAGGAAGTAGTGGTTGTGGACAGAGAGAAAGCATAGTCCCTAGATGGGCTGTCGCCCCCTTAAGAGTCACACTCTGATAAACCAAGGAGGAAAGGTGACAGAGTGGGCTGTGGACAAATGCCCCTCCCAACACTTTTTTAGAGGCCTGAAAGTGTTTGATTTTGGGGTATTGATTCATATTTATCATGTACTCACTTCTCACCTAGAACTTCAACTTTTTCCTTTCTTGTCTCTCCCGTCTTTTCTTTCTCTCTTCATTTCATTCCGACTCCATCTCGCTCTTCCTGACTTCCACTCTCATTCCCCAGGAACTTGTAACGGAAGTCACCTAGCCCGGGGCCTTGTTCTGCACCAGCAATCCTCTGTTGACTTCCTGGGTTCCTTAGAATTGGGGACCAAGGCGGGCTTCCGCCTCGGATTCTGGCTGCTGAGGTACAGTTTCCAATATCCAGAAGAGACTGAGAGATTCGGAAGAATGGTTGATTGGCTCTAGGGAGTGTGCTAGTTGGGGTAAATCTCAGCAGCTCTCACATTTTGGAAAACGAGCAAAAAATGTGTAAAGTTTTAACATTTGTGTTAGAATGGGCAGCAGCAGCCTGGGACAGAATGTATAGGTGGTCGAGTCACCAAGCTCTGGCCAGGAAAACGTTTGACTCTAAGGTCCCATTTCTGTGGGAGTGGGAGCTTCCCCTCAACGCTCAACACGCCGCATGCCCAGCACAAGCCTGTGTGGGACAAGGCGGGTGTGCCTGACAAATGACCCAGACAGCTGCCACCCACCCCAAACCCCACTCCCCATCCTGGCCCGGAGCTGATTTCTGAGGGTCACAGTTTTACTGAGCTGTGGTACTCTTGCAGTGGATGAAGTTTCTATCAAATTCATTCTTCTCCTGCCGTCTAGAGCCAGCTTAGTTTGAAGTCTGTTTACTTGTTCTGGGGAAAGGTGAATTCAGCCGGTCTACAGATTGGACCGAGACAAACAAGGCCTTGGCCGTTTCACTCCATCCAGCGCGCAGGGCCAACCAGCTACCGCTCCGGCCCGGGAGGTCGTTGTGGCTGCAGGAAGCTGCTCTGAAACGCAGTCCAAAGCGTCTTGATAAGGAAATAGGTGTTCGCTCCGCGCAGCCAAAGACCGCAGCCTGGGGACACCCCCACATCCTGGTCAGCCTCTGCGGAGTCAAGAGTGTCTTCTCCTGGAGTGGACCTATCCTAGGTCTCTAGTATCTCTGGCCCGGGTCAGTTCTGGCCTCCCCTGAGGGAGAAATCAGTCTTCTGGGGACGCCACTGGCGCTGAAGTGCCGGAAGAGCCGGAAGCTTCCCCACGTGTGGGGGCAGCACAGTTCGCCCCAAGATTGGGGAGAAGCTGAGCGCCCCGGCCTAAGCACCCCACCCATCCCAAGCACCGCCGGCTGCGGAGAGTGGGGGAGATTTTGCAGACAGCATCCCCCCCTTCCTTCTCTCCCTCACCCTCCACCCCGCCACGTAAACACGAGGACTTTCTCGAGAGCCCTGGAGAGAGGCTCTAGTGGCTTCGGGGCCTGAAACCCCAGGCTTGGCTTGTTTGATGTTTAGCATCCCAAAGCGGCTCCCCGCCCCCGCCTCAGCCTGGGAACCCGGAGCTGTAGGTCGGAGAAGCAGGAAAGCAGCTCTCTCAGCTGGCGGGGCCTGGAAATGGGCCGGGTTTGGGGGAGGCGAGAAGAGCGAGACAGAGATGCTCTGAGCGGGGGAAGGGCGCCCGGGCTGCCGCCACCCCCAACAGGGGCACAAGCGGGTACAGCTGGAGTCCTCAAGGCCAGGAGGCGGCTGGGGATAGGGAATGCCTCAGCAGCCGGGGCAGCGGCTCTGGAAGAGGGGGTGTCCTGGTGGGAAGTAGCTTGAGGCCCCCCGACTGAAATCAGAGCCAAGTCTCAGCGGATTCCGCGAGAAACGCTCAGGGCACTTACTCCTGGAGGCGGGGGAGGCCCTCGCACTCCAGTCCAAGGACCTCGCAGGAGGCAGCTTTTTTCCCCCATTGCTAGGGATTGGCCTTTCAAAGAGCCAGACTTGCTCGGGAGCCTTTCAAGGGATTTTAAATCACCCTGAAGCTGGGCTAGGCCGAGGTATTGGAGTGAGGTCTCCGATTTTGAGACCCCAGCGAAGAATTCTCAGACTTTAGAGGCCGCACACTCTTCCAGGACGCTCACCGCCGTATAGGCGTCGGTGAGGGTCTATCTCCAGGGGCGAGTGCACAAAAGGTAGCGCGAGTCTCTTCCCAGGCGACCTGAGATAAGAGGAAATGAGAGCGGGGGTTTTCTGACTTCCAACTCATTAGGGACCAGGTAAGGTCAATGCTTTCTCTATTATATCTTTATCTTAAAAGCGAGTCAATTTAAGATAAGAAAAAAAAAAAAGTCCAGGATCTGTGTGAACTGTGCTGATAAAGACTGACCCTTTTCCTGAACTAAAAGCAAGCCGGGCAGACACTCATTTTCTATAAACAAGAGAGTTGTGAGAAGCTGCCTTGAATTCTGATCGAATGTCTCCAGTCTCTCTAGACATCGCTCCTCCCTTCCCCCCAATTATTAGAGGGGGAAAGCAGAGTGAGCAGGGATATTATTTGTGGAGAACTAGAAAGCCTGTTGGGAAATGTGAATCTGAGATGAAATGGCTCTTAGACATGGTTTGCTGACTTGTTTGTTTCAAATGCTGCTTTCTTTAAGAATGAAAGGAAAGTGAGACATGAGTATTGGGAGAGATGAGGCTGAATGTTTTCCTTGCTCAGCCTGGTTTCTATTGGGAGAGGCTGGACACCCCCTTTCTCTGGCATTCTCTGACTTCTTGGCTGATGTGTTTGTGGTTGTGCAATTGTATTCTTGCAGCTTCAGGCCACCCTCTCCTGGGCCCAATTTGGGCTTTTGCCTCAACTTGGAGTACAGAAAGTTTTCTGGTGCCTCTTTGGCCAGTAGCTTCTGAAAGGAGTGTCCTATTCCCAGCCACTCTCTCTGGTGAGCTTGTCCACCCAAGTGGCCGGAAGAATTGGATATGGGTGAGAGTAAAGGAAAGACTGAGTTTTATTGAAGGGGAGGGCCAGGATCTGCATGCTTCTTCCCCCACGTTTTTGAACATTTCCTGATGATTCTCAAAAGTACAGAGGAGGAGCAGGCTCAGCAACTTGACAGCACAGCTTTTGCCTCATCTGAAGCCATAGCTGAAGTGGCTGGCTGCATTTCCCTCTGACAGTGACCTAATGCCCTACTTGGAGGGCATCTAAGAAGGGCCACAGGCTACTCATTTGATGATGTTTCCCATTTGGACTCTGCTTCCTAAACATGTATTGTCGTTT